CTGCGTGGCCTTCAGCAAGTGCCCGAGCTTCCTGGGCCTCCCCATCTGTCAAATGGGGCAATGGCCCCCTTGCGGGATGACTATGAAGATTAAGTAACAACGGTACAGCACTCAGCAAATTGCCTGACACATACTAAGCGGAGAATACATGGTAGCTATTACACGCTTTCTTTCTATTGAGAAAGACGGACGGTATCTTTCCTGGAGAAAGGTGGGAAGACGGAGTTAAGAGTCTGTCCCTCTTCCACTCTTTCCTAATCTGTGAGCTATTTAACCACTGATGTTCTCACTTTGACAAAGCCCGTTGCAGTACGGGTTCACTACAGTGCTTTTCAAATTGCAGAACCTTGATTGTCTACTATTTTCATAGCCATTTGGCTTAATTGTTTTTTCTTTACTAGCCTGGTGGAACAGGTTAAAGTTAGGGAAAATTTAATTAGTGTCTGGATGTGACCCATCCCAGTAAACCCTAAAAAGGAAAACTAATGAAACACGTGCTGCCCAAAAGTAGCTTCGTCACTCAGTCAACATGTATGAAGCACCTACTATGGGCAGGTCCTGAGCTACATGCAGATGGCTGCCTGCCTGTGCGCCCTCCTTTCATAATAAAAATTCTCACCAAGGAATATTCCTTAAATAATCAAAGGTATCATGACGAGCACTTGGATCTGGAATGATGTAGAAACTTACTTTTAAATGAGTATAATTTGTCATGCATATAACAGATAAAAGAAAGACTATCCAGAGTATATAAAATTATCTAAAATCCTATTAAAAATCATCCCCGACAATGGGCAATTCACAGAAAAGAGAACTTAAATTAGCCAACAACACATGCAAGATACAGTGGAATATTATGCAGTGGTTAAAAAGAACGAGTTAACATAGAATTACCGTATGAGCCAGCAATTCCACTCCTGGGTATGTACCCAAAAGAATTGAAAGCAGGACTTGATCACATTTGCACACCCATGTTCATAGCAGCATTAGTCCCACAATAGCCAGAAGATGGAAACAACCCCAGTGCCCATCAACAGATGAATAAACAAAACGTGATATATATACACCATGAACTATTATGCAACCTTAAAAAGGAAAGAAATTCTACCACATGCTACAACATGGGTGAACCCTGTAGACATTATGCTAAGTGCAATAACCCAGACAGAAGAGGACAAATACTGTGTCATTCCATGTATGTGAGGTAGCTAGAGTATGGAATTCACAGAGACAGAAAGTAGAACCAGGCTGCCAGAGGCTGGGGGAGGGAGGAATATGGTGCAGAGTTCAGTTGGGGAGAATGGTTTGTAACAATGTTAATGTAGCTAATGTCATTGAACTATATACTTAAAAATGGTTTAAAATGGTCCATTTTATGGTATGCGTATTTCACCACAATAAAATAATTTATTTCCAAACTTGGAATAACTATCAAACTATCATTCTTTTTTTACTTTTAATTATGCTTAGGGAATTTTCTTCCTTCCCCTCTTATCACTGAAGTTTTTCAGTAAGCCTTTATTGTTAAAAAAAAAAAGCAAGGGTTGCGGGGAGAACAAGGTAGACACTGAAAGAGGTCTAAGAGAAATCATTATGTGAAAAGGCTGATTCATACAGTACTTTCCCATTTATGTTCAGAAAAAAACACACGTCGTGTATGTAAAAGCATAGACTGGTCACAAAAGTTGCCTCTGAGAATAAGAATGAGGGGTAAATGGGAACTTCTGATTTATGCAGGGGGGGCGGGGAGGGAGGCAGTTTCTTGCGGTTTGTGTTTTTTTAGAATGAGAGGAAGGGAGAGGGAGAGGGAGAGAGAGAGAGAGAGAGAGAGAGAGAGAAAGAGAGAGACATCGATTGGCTGCCTGTCTTACACGCTCCAACCAAGGACTGAACCCAAAAGTTAGGTATGTGCCCTGACTGGGAATCGAACCCAAAACACTTTGGTTTATGGGACAATGCTCCAACCAACTGAGCCACACTGGCCAGGGCCTGATTTATCTTTATTGTTGAATAATTTAAAAATAGACCCATAAATCCCCAATACCAGGGGAGGAAGCCTGGGGCCTCCAGCCCAGTGGATTTGGCACACAAGGCCTAAGACTGCCATATCTGAGTTTCAAAACATCCTAAAAGTGAAAAACAAGCTAATACAGGCCCAGGGTATAAGGGGACCATTCAGAGTGCAAATATTATAAACCATTGTCTGTCAAAATACAACCATATTGTGAGGTCACGAGTTTCAGTTTTTGGCAGGGAAAATACGGCCAGCACAGTCCTCCTCTGAAAGACTTGAGCCAGAATATACAAGTATAAATACCATGACACCACATTTTATTGGTATGATGTAGACAAACTGTCTAGACTCTAGCCCAGCCGTGGGCAAACTACAGCCCGCGGGCCGGATCCGGCCCGTTTGAAATGAATAAAACTAAAAAAAAAAAAAAGACCGTACCCTTTTATGTAATGATGTTTACTTTGAATTTATATTAGTTCACACAAACACTCCATCCATGCTTTTGTTCCGGCCCTCCGGTCCAGTTTAAGAACCCATTGTGGCCCTCGAGTCAAAAAGTTTGCCCACCCCTGGCTAGCTAATGCTAGCAGATAATAGGTGCCCAAATAAATATTTGAGTGAATAAAGGTACAGAATGATCCATGGGTGTTTGGGGAGCTGTGAAGTGTTAGGTATTGTCAGAAAAGAACCTGAGATCATGACCTTAGGGACCCTGTCTGTCTGTCTCATTTACCTGACCCGGTGCCTGGCATATAACTGGCACTCGGTCAATGCTTGTCCGGTGAGTTATTCACATAGAAGTTAGAGGGCAAGCTGAGTCTGGTGATTATTTTCTCCCATTACTCAGCTAACATCTGTCAAGTGCCAACTATGTGCCAACGACGGCAGCTTCTGGGGATGAAGAAGCCAGGCCTTGCCTTCCAGAGGCTACAGAACAGCCGGCTCTCAGGGTTGAGTTGGCAGGAGGGCGGGATGCGCTGGAGAACAGTGCGTGAGGGAGGCCGGTGGGCAGGAGGGGCAGGCAGGGCTGTGAGTGTGGCCAGAGCTCCCGGTTCGAGAGACAGGCCAGGGGATAACTCTCAGCAGGAAGGGGGACAGGGAAGATCGCAAGGTACATTCAGGCTTTTACAGTCAGATTTCCTGTCTGTGTGCTTGGCCACTAGAGAGTGGAAACTTCTCTGCCACGGTGGTGACAGGTCGCGGGGCCTGGGAGGACGGGTCCTCTCATTCCAAGAGGGCGGCAGGTTTCGCATCAGAGGCAGGTGGGACTCCGGAATCCCCGAGCCTGTCTGATCCCCGAGCGAGGAGCAGGGGGTTTTCCCCAGGCTCCGGGGGAGGCAGTCCTTTCACCACCTCCAACCCCCTGTCCTGCACGCCGCCGGGGAGTCTGGGCCTTCAGACGCAGAGAATATTTCCTAGTGCAACACAACAGGCCACAGCCCGAGACGCAAGGTCCGAGACCTCCTGAGAGGGTTAGGGCTTGGAACTGGGCTGAGCGCACAGGAGTTTAACTGAATATTAACCAGCTTTCCCTCTACCACCCCAGGGTGTTTCGGTTTGTCTCTACTCAATATGCAGTTAACTGTCCCCACTGTATTCCGTATTAGTTCTCCCTCCCTCCCTCCCTCTCTCAATGGATAGATTTTTATCTATCCACTCATTTAACGATTATCCACTGAGAGCAAACATGCTGGAGATACAGAGAAAAACAAGATAGAATTCCAGCTCTCCAGCTTGGCCATAGTCATTACAAAGTTCAATGTCAACGCAGCCTTTGACTCAGCAATTCAACTCCCAAGAATTTATTCTAAATATATACTCCCACAGGTGCCAGGACTTCTGCGTAGAAGGACAATCCCTGAACTATTTTAAATAACAATTCAAAATTAGAAACAATACAAATGCCCACCAATAGGAAACTGATCAAATAGATTATGCTACACCTAAACAGTAGAATACTATCACTGTCCAGAAAACGGTTGATCTTTATGGGAAGGTAGGGAAAGATCTCCAAGAAAGATTAGGCAGTGAAAAAAAGCATGCATATTATGTTACTTTTGTTTTTAAGAATGTGTGCAATTATATGCATACAAAGGCTATCAGGCTATCAGATAAGCTGTCCAGGATGGAAGCCGCTAGCCCAGGTGGTGACTGGGCCCTTGAAATGGGGCTAGTCCAACTTGAGATGCAACAGCAAATTTCAAACACTTAATACAAAAACAAGAATGTAAAATGTTTCAATAATTATTTCTTTTGATTACACGTTGAAGAAATATTTTGGATACATCGGATTAAATAAAACATGTTATTGAAATTGATTCCACTTTTCAATTTTTATTATTTTTATTTTTAATTGAGAGAGAGAGAGAGAGAGAGAAAGCGAGAGAGAGAGAGACCTAATTCCACTTTTTTAAAAAACTTTTTTTCAGTATGGCTACAAGAAAATATAACGTTACATATGTGGTTCACATTATATTCCTATTAAACAGCAAGTACTATTCTGGAACAGGAATCAGCCAAAATGGGCTAAAGCCTGCTTTTGGAAATAAAGTGTTATTGGACCGCAGCCACACCATTTGTTTAGGTATTGTGTATGGATATAAGGACAAAGTTCAGTAGCTACAGCAGACACCATGTGGCTGCTAAGCCAAAAATATTTACTACCTTGCCCTTTACCAACAAGGGGCCATGGAGTAGCCCCAATTCCTACCCTGTAGAAACCACAACCAAAAAAGATTATCTTGAGACGAAGGCAGATTTTTTTACTTTCCTTTGGGGGGAATAAGAATGTATTATTTTGCCCTAACCGGTTTGGCTTAGTGGATAGAGTGTCGGCCTGCGGACTGAAGGGTCCCAGGTTCGATTCCGGTCAAGGGCATGTACCTTGGTTGTGGGCACATCCCTAGTAGGGGGTGTGCAGGAGGCAGCTGATCGATGTTTCCAGCTCTCTTTCCCTCTCCCTTCCACTCTGTAAAAAATCAATAAAATATATATTTTTTAAAAAAGAATGTATTATTTTTGTCAGCAAAGAAGAAAAACAATTAAAAGAACTTACAAACCTGCTTCTAAGGGTTGCACATTCTAGTAGGGGGTCAAGCCAATAAATAATTAAAGGGTCAAGGAAAAGTACAAGGGCAAGGCTAAGTGTTTGGAAATGTCAGGTAGACAATGGTAATAATAGCCAGTAATTACGGAAGGCCTCCGAGGTGGTGGCCACCATCTGCAAAGTGGTGCTTTCTATACCTTAGTTCATTTTACCACAGCTGCCTCATGTTACAGCTGAGGAAACTGAGGCCTAGAGACATAAGAAACTTGCCCAACGAGACAAATCCAAGCTCTTAACCAGACTAGATTCTGCTGGGGAGTTAAGCCTGGAGAAGCAGTTTGTGGAATCAAGGAAGACTTTTACTATCGCCTCCCTGCCTCTACTTCCCTAACTAGCATTTTCGTCTTATTTTCTTATCATGGGCTTGAGCCTGAGGAAGGTACTGTGGGGCTGTTCTTTTCTGGAATACACTAAATGCCATAAGAATTTCTTCTTTATACGCATTAACCTGCTCGTCAAATACCACAACAATTCAAAAGCAAAGAGTGACATTCCCATTCTGCACCCTCCTTCCCACGTGTCCTGTACCCCAGCTGGAGGGTAGCCTCCCCGACTCCATACCTAACCTATATGTGATGCTTCCAGCCGAAGCAGTAATGCTGCTGCCAGGAGACTTGCTCTTACCACTTAGCAATAGAGCATAGACCTCTTCACATGATAGCACCCACAACCTATTTAATACTTTTAAAGACCTGAAAATAGCCACCCTGTTATTATTTTAGCAACCCCCTTTTTAAAATGAAAACATCAACTGAAGTTCTGATCGATACTAGAAAAATTACTTTTAAGAACCACTTGTACCCTTTAGCATTTGCTTTCAGGAAGAGGACTTCCATTTGTGATTTCTCCGTGAGCACAGAGGCAGGCTGGGTGCAGCTCTGAATGTGTGGGAAGCATATTTCACACCAGTTTTCAGTCTGGAACCGTCTGCAGACAAACAGCCAGAGACACAACTGGACGAGGCTCTTCGGCCCCCATGTACTTGCACAACAGCAATGTCATACACCTGTAAAACCCAAGATAATAAAACCCAAGATAATTATGACTTGTCCGGAGAATGCACAGTCATGTCCAGGCAGGGTCGGCTGAGAAATAAAGCCTTAGCGTCTCTCTTCTTTTTCCACTTTCCCAGCCACCGACCTAGCCTGGGCCTCTGCACCTCGTCCCTGGACTGCTGGTGAGGTGTTCAGGCGTCTCCTAACCTCAGACCTCCTCCGCTGCTAACCACTTGGCACAGGGTGGCCAGATTACACTTCCAAATCATTGCTTTGTGCATGTTGCCCCTGGTTCACATGCCTGCACAAAATTCCAGATCTTTATCTTGGCGTCCCAGGTCCTCCTCAGTATTGCTCCAACCTACCATTCTGCTCTTATCGCTGAGTTGCTCTCTAAGCTCGTCTCCCCGTCTCCAGCCAAAGTGGTCCTATTTTCCCCAAACTTCACCTTGCTTGTTCTAAATTCAGTTTCTGCGAAGAGAGGCCCGCCTGGCAGGCCCTGCCTGGCTCCCACAATCCTTCTGTTTAAACCCTTCTCTAACTCAAGTGAAAATCTTCTGAAGGTTCCCGATTCCCTGAAGCTCAAACTTTGTCCTCATCCCAACCTCAAGCTGATTCCACATTCATTCACTGATCATGTGATGGTTTTAATCTTTATATATAAAGAGTATGTACAACCCCAACTAGACTGTAGTAGGTAGAGGGACTTCTCTCATATCATTTTAGACATTCTATAAAACATACCCGAGCACCTTCCATATAATACATAGTCAATAAGTGTTGGCACAGAGTAAGCAGAAACTTACTGCCTCTGATCCAGTAAGTCATAGTGACCTCCTCCTGGAATCCCAGGGACTCCCTTTCTCCCCTGGGCATTATCCTACCATCTTCATTGAACAGGACACCTTGGAAATGCTCCATGTGAATGCATGAGGAGCCTCTTCCTCTTCTTCTCTTCCTTCTTTCCTTTCTTCTTCATAGTTGCATGCTATTTCATCCTAAGGAGGCACCATAATTTATTTAACTGTTCCCAGTGATGGTCATTTAGGTTATTTCCAATATCCTGCCAGAAAAAAAAATAATTTTGCTCTGAATAATTTTGTACGTCTGTGAATATTTCTGTAGAATAAGTTCCTCAAGCTAAAATTGTTAGAACAAAGGACCTGTTCATTTGTAGTTCTGAAATATCCAGTGTCCCCCCAAAATGTATACACACTTTGAATAATTATAAAGGCAGTGTTTATTAAAATACATTTCATTTTCAAAATGTAATAGAATCAGCTGTTAAAGTGTGTATACATTTTGGGGGATATCCTGGCAAGATAGTGGGGGATCAAGAGCTCTAGACCAGGGTAGCATTGGGTCCCCTATATCCCTTCCCATATATCCTTGAGGAGCTATAACAATCTACACTCTCACCTGTAAAGTTTGATAGTCATTATATTTAATGTTGAGCCGAGGAACCATACTTGATTAAAACATTCCCTTATTTTTGTACATTTAAACTCAGTCCTTATTCAATAGAGAAACCAGCTTCCAAAACCCTGGAAACTGAGACCTTAATCCTTTGACTGTAAATCACACAGCTTCTCCAGGGAACAAAAGAAACTCAAGCACCTAACTCTACTACTTTATGTACAGGAATGTGCACCAAAAAAAGTGTAAAAGTCACATTTTTATAAATAAAAACAAACAGCCAACAAAAAGATGCAGCATAGTTCAGTAGAAACAAGGCAGATTTCAGGGTCAAAAGGCATAAATTTTCTTCTTTCTCTTATAAGCTCTGTGACTTTGGACAAGCCACTTCACCTCCCTGAGCTATAATTGTCCCCTCGGAAAAAGAATCTAGTGGTATATGCTTTGACATGAATGACAATGTATGAAGAAATCCATCTACCTGAGTTGGTAGCCAGCTCGGGAACCAGGTCTGAAGACAGTTTCATCCCCAGGGTCCAGATAGTTCCTGGAACGTGGCATGTAACCGATACATAATGAATAGATGAACCGTGTTTCATCCACTCATCCACAGGATGGGCGACTTGTCCAAGGCCAGGTAATACACAATCAAGAAAAGTCAAAGGTAGCTCAGAGAGAGCCAGACAGGTGTATGGAACGGCCAGTCTGGACTATTATCTCTCCACCTGACCAAAGACTTCATAATTGTCTCCAGCTTTGCTGTACTCCAAGTGAAGAGATGTCGGGAAGGTGTCTTCTGTAAGCCATTTTCAAGGTTTTCTCCTTCCTATTCATTCATGAATCCCACACTTCCAGGTCTCTGAAGAAATGGGACTTTATATCTGGCCTCCAAGTCTACCTCTCAGCCTTTGATCAAACATATTCTTCAAAATCATCCAATTCCCCACTCCATACATCTGTCCCTTTTTGGGGTATCACATTTCATTTATACCCAAATAAATTATTCTCTGACCTCTCTCCCACCTTCCCTGTCTTTTTCTTAACTCTCTACCAATGAAGTTCTAGGACCATATTAATTTTCTGACATACTCTCGAAGCTCTCATGGCTTTGAGATTGCAAGCCAGCTCTGTAAGTTTACAGTAAGACCCAGAAATTTTAAATTATCTGCCCAGGTGTGTAGAGTAATTGGGGGCATGAGTGGCTTTGAACTCAGGTCTTCAGGTTCCAGGTCCAGAATGTGTTCAACAGTCTATTCCCTCTCCTCACAATTTGACATTTGCAAAGTGCTTTTGTTTCTCGTTGCTCATATCGTCATCATATTAGTCTCAGAGGCCATGACCTCAACGCAATTGCTGGGGAGCAAACCACCTCAAAATTCAGAGGCTTAACACAGTAATCACTTCCTACTCCAGCTCCTGCACCGGCAGTTCGGGTGAAGGTTGGCTAGGCAGACCTGCCGATCGATCGTGGCTGGGTTTGTTCATGCATCTCTGGGTCAGCTGGATGGTTCTGTTCTCAGCTGGGCTGGGCTGGGCAGCTTCCTGGGGGCAGCTCTGCCTCATGTATCTTATTCCCATCCTAGGGCCCTGGGCCAGCCCAGGCGTGCTCTTCTCATGGAAACAGTAAAGGGGCAAGAGAAGAAGTCCAGTGATGCAAGCACGCTTCCAAGCCACTGCTGGCATCCCATCTACCAACATCCAGAGCAGTTGCCCCAGTCGAATCAGTGGATCATCTCTTGATAGGAAGAACTGCGAAGTCCCATGGCAGAGGGTAGTGACACAGACAGGAATGCAGACCTGGGGCACTTACACAATCTGCCCCGTGTTCAAGTGTCAAGCCATCTTAGGTTAAGCTAATTTTTCTTCTTGCCTCCAAGCACAGGCCAGGGCTCTAAAGCAGAGGTACCCAGAGCACATGGTGCAGTGAGACGGGGCACGAGAGGCCCTCCCTGGCTGGTGACTTCAGCACCAGGCTGCACTTTGGCTGCCGCCGCAGCAGGGTAAACAGAGAAGGAGGGTGACAAGCCGGCACTGGCTCAAACCTCCGGGCTCTGTATCCAGCTGCCCCCACCCTAATGGCTTCTTAGCATGTGATTCACTGCTCTAGGGAGAGAAAAGTAATGGAGGGTGTAATTTATATTGGGAAAATTGCTCTGAAAAAAAAAAATTAGAGAGCAACAGACCCAACACTCTGGCTCAAAGGGAGTTGCATAGCAAAGGACCAGGGAAACTGAACGTAGTGAGTAAAAGGATGTGGGGGCCTGGAAGAGGAGCGGTGGGGGGGAGACCTAAAAACAGGGGGGACATGAACAACCCCAAGAAACTCTGTTTTCTTAGGGGAGGAAAATGGAAAAGCAATAAGCCTGACATTTTCTGAGTTGTCTTTTGCTCTCTGAAAGTGCTCACGAAGTAAGACTTAGAGTTTTCAATGAAAACTTCTCCAAGAGATTTCCTCACACCCTACCCCTTCCGCTGCCAGAATAAATATGCGAGGAGGCTGATCACATATGACACGGAATCCAAACAACTGAGCAAACTCAGGAAACCGGAGAGGACCCAGTTTCCAACCCAGAAAACTCCGTGACCATCGGCGCTCGATCTGGTTCAGATTAGACGCTCGCTGCACTTGAAGAGACTTTTATAATTACACGAACGACAATACTCACAAGTGAATACGCTATGAAGGTTAACTTAAATAAAAATAGTAACATTGCCCTAACCGGTTTGGCTCAGCGGATAGAGCGTCAGCCTGCGGACTCAAGGGTCCCAGGTTCGATTCCGGTCAAGGGCATGTACCTTGGTTGCGGGCACATCTCCGGTGGGGAGTGTGCAGGAGGCAGCTGATCGATGTTTCTCTCTCATCGATGTTTCTAACTCTCTATCCCTCTCCCTTCCTCTCTGTAAAAATCAATAAAATATATTTTTAAAAAATTAAAAAATAGTAACATCACTGGCCACAGGTTGTATTAACAGAGGCCACAAACTTGTGCCTCTGAGGCTTGGAGGTCATAGGTCAAGTGAAGACCTTCCCTAGCGTTTCTTCCCCGGGGGCTTGGACTTTAATTTCCTTCCTTCAGCTTGTTAAGGCATCCAAAACTTCCTTTCCTGGCTCGTTTCCTTAGCTATGAATGAAAGAAGGAAGTGAAGCTACCTGGTCATCAAGGCCCACTCGAGTGCACAGAGGTAACTATACCTTCCCAGCTCCTTCCACTGTGTGAAGGGAATCAGTGTGGCACTCACCTTTGTCCAGGTATTTAGTAGCAGAGGTTGCCGGGCATAGATTTTTGAAATACCAAGCACAATGGAGGTACAGCAAGAAGGATCTCAAACTGTGTGCCCTTGGGCAAGCTGCTTGTCTGTTTATGACGAGGTTTCCTCATCTGTAAAGTAGGGAAATAAGAGAGCCTGTTATCATCGGGTGTCCTGGGGATTGAAGAAGATAACGAGTAAAGCATTCAGGAAGGGACTCGGTACTTAGAAAGCATTCCATACATGGATTTATTATTATCTGCAAATGTGATTTAGGCAATTCTGAAGGTGGCAGGTTTTCTTTCACTAAGAGGTGAGTGCTGGGAAAAGTTGTTTATAAATAAAAGATATTGTTAAAAAAAAACAACACTTTTTAAAAAAAATCCCTGTTGGCTAGCTAATGTGAAAGTATAGCTTGGAGTTCTTATTTGCTTTCATATTGGTTTACCTGTATCTATGCATTTGATTTAGTTCATCCTACCTTCAACCAGTAAGACAATAGTCAGTGGTAGCTGCACATTAGAATCATTTGGGGAGCTTTAAAAATCTTAGGCCAGTCCAGCCGGTGTGGCTCAGTGGTTGAGTATCAACCTATGAACCAGGAGGTCACAGTTCAATTCCCAGTCAGGGTTGTGAGCTCGATCCCTGGTGGGGGGCATGTAGGAGGCAGCCGATCAATGATTCTCTCTCATCACTAATGTTTCTCTCTCTCTCTCCCTCTCCCTTCATCTCTGAAATCAATATAAATATAGTTTAGAAGATTCTTCTTTTAAAAAACCTTTAGGCCCAAACTATCTATGCTGTCAGAAGTCTGGATAGTGATTGGACAGAGGGCGAGGCAGGGAGGAGGAGAGACTAGAAGGGAGCCTGGTGCGTGCTTGTGACATTCTGATTCTTGAGCTGGGTGGTGGTTACACAGGTACCTTCAGTTTGTAAAAATTCATTGCAATGTATACTGACAGCCTGAGCACGTTTCTACATGCATAATATACTTCAATAAAAAGTTAAACACAAATGTCTATGCTGACGTTGCACTGAAAATCAATTAAATCAAAATCTTTAGGGGTGGGACCCTGGCACCAACATTTTTGAAAAATTTCCCAGGTGGTTTTAATGTGCAGCCAAGGTTGAGAGCAGCTGCAGCGGTTCTTCTGGCCACAGTGGGCCCAGACCTTGGAACTGGCATTCAAGCCATTCGTAGAAAACCAGGAGCCAGTGGGGTTGACCAAGGACTTGTTTAGGCAGGTCTCACGTCCAAAGGTCATTGGGCAGGATAGTGGGGGTCAAGAGCTCTGGACCGGGATAGAAATCTGGGATCAGTGCCTGGGTCTCGCACTCATTGGCTAAGAGACTTGGCTAGCCATGTAGGTGACCTCACAGAACTGCTACATCCTCAACTGCTAACTGGTGCTCACACTAGCTCCTCCTTACCTCATTTGGTCCCCTATATCCCTTCCCATACATCAAAGGCTCCATACATGAGCTATTATTATAAGACTAGGGGCCCAGTGCATGAATTCGTGCACCTTGAAAGGAACTGCAGGCCGCAAGGCTGCGGTGGGCACAGGGGCGGGTCTCAGCCCATCCTCCATGCCCCTGCCCAAGCCCCTTTCTCTGTGGCCTCCGGCCCCCTGTCTGCCGGCAGCCCTGCTCCCGCCACCACCACTCCCACACACTGATGGCACCAGCCCCGCTCACACCCGCTGATGGCGCAGGGCGATTGGGGCCGGCACCAGCAGCAGGTGTGAGCTGCAGCTGCTGCCTCAATCGCCCCTCAAGAACAGCAGGAGGTAGAGAAGCCCTGAGGGGCAATCGGGGCCGGCAGTCACTGCTCGCACCCACTGACAGTGCCGAGTGATCAGGGCCAGCACTGGGCACCGGCAGCAGGTGCGAGCACTGGGCGGGACCACAGCACATGGGAGCAAAGAATTTTCAGTAACCCATTAGAGGCTCATCCCGATGACAGAAACCGTGCCCCACCTTGGTCTGGCACCCCCGCTCACCTGCTCTACCATCCCACTGCGGTCAAAACCCACCATGTTCTGCACATGACCCTGGTCTTCAGCGCACGTTATAACGACCAGTTGTTCGGTTGTTCTGCCGTTCGGTCTATTTGCATATTAGCCTTTTATTATATAGGATGTTGCAAATTTTCAAGAGACCCCTTCAAAAGAGTGTTTTGTCCTTGCCTCTGATTTCCAGCAGAGAGGTTAGGCCAGGGGTGGGCAAACTTTTTGACTCGAGGGCCACAATGGGTTCTTAAACTGGACCGGAGGGCCGGAACAAAAGCATGGATGGAGTGTTTGTGTGAACTAATATAAATTCAAAGTAAACATCATTACATAAAAGGGTACGGTCTTTTTTTTTTTAGTTTTATTCATTTCAAACGGGCTGGATCCGGCCCGCGGGCCGTAGTTTGCCCATGGCTGGGTTAGGCAGTATTTTGACATTAATCATGGCTATTGCTCCTACCACTCACTGTCTTGCATAGAACCCATAAGGAAGGAAGGGCACTGATTTGAGTTTCTCTTGCAATCAAGGACTTGCTCATTGCACATTAATTTCACCCAAGGGCACATGGATAGAAACCTGGCTACCATGTGGCTGCCCAGTCTTCAGCATTTGGGTGTTCCCTTTGTTGGGACTTAATTAACAAAGCTTTGTGTCCTTTAAGAGAAAACCAGTTTCTTTTTTCCCCTGCCTTCTGCTTACCCCCACCAAGATTCCTAAAGTCAAAGATTCTTCCTTCCATGCTTCCTGAATCTTTATTTTACCTACATTTCCTTCTTCCCTTAATCTTTGGGGAAATGAAGAACAATCCTGCTCAACATAATTCCTACATACAGTTGAACATCACCAACATGCTCTTTCTTTTTCCCTCCTTTATCTTATATTTCAGCATTTGGGGAATTTTGGATGGTTTCCCTGAACCTTCATTTCCCTATATTCTTTTCATAAGGGTGGCTCCTCAAAAATGTAATTCTCTTGAGCACTCTGTAAGTATTATTGGATAAAGATTTAACAAATGAACTCAACAGCACTTATTGAGGCTTGCTACATGGAAAATTCTGGGCTGAGTAGTGAAAACCATTGATTCCTGCCTCAAAGGAGCCCACATTTGAGGTAGATTGAAAAATAACATTAGTACTAGATGGGCTGTCAGACGTTCTGTGAAATAGTTACAAACAAGCCAGCCATGGCAGTATGAGGTCAGGAAGGTAAAGGCTGTAAGTGACAATCACCAAAGTTGCTTGTTATAAAAGAACGGGGTCTATGGTTAAACAAGGGTACCTGGGAAATTGCGATCACTACACGTTTACATCAGTTGTAACTTGCTTTTTTAAAATTCTTTCTTACAAATGTCATTGCCAATTTGAAGTTTCTTATGTTAGAGTCAAATAAATTTTTTTTAAATATATTTTATTGATTTTTTTTTTAACAGAAAGGAAGGGAGAGGGATAGAGAGTTAGAAACATCAATGAGAGAGAAACATCGATCAACTGCCTCTTGCACACTCCCTACTGGGGATGTGCCCGCAACCAAGGTAC